AGAAAGGAGAGAGGAGGCTTATAGGAAGAGCACAAGTGTATCCTTTGCAGAAGTGTTTTTACCTTCAGAGTATAAAAAAAGGCATCTCACATGGCTGGAAAATACAAACCACCCCTTGAACAAAACTCTTTAAACAACTCATCCTTTTTATTCTTACACTGCTTCATTTATTGAAAGTGATCAAACTTTTTCCCCTTTTTCTTTGTGAGATTAAAAAAATAAAGTATAATGTCCTGTCATATTGCACCATGTTGGGAAACTATTCAAACGCAGTCTTAAATGTGAGCATGGCTACACCTGAGATCAATTTAAGTTAAGTTTAAAGAGTTAAGCTTTTAAAGACCAACGTGGGAAAAATCAGAAGGTGCCAGGGATATTTCAGTCCACTTAAATCCTGGAATAAATGTGACACCGTGATGTTACATCCTTTTAAGCTTAGCACATTTTTTACCAGCCCGTTGATACAGACGTCCCTTAAACACGTCACAAGTTTTGAAAAGAAGAAAGCTATGACAATAAACTCGCCGAATATGTGTGCTTGTTTTTATCATACAAGCATTACAAACAAAGGCAATTACTGGCTTTTAACACACTTTTACCGAAACATTTTGGTTTTAACAGCATTAGTTGTTGTTTTGGTTGTTTTTATTCAGTTATATTGTTTGTTTATTTATTTGTTTTTTTCTATATTTTACTGCATCATTATTTTGAATTGTATTTGTTTTAGTGGGATTTTACATTGTTGAGCACTTTGTGCAGCATGGACTGTTTGGAAATGTAGACACAGTTGGGCTATAACGACACTGTTTATGATGTAATTGTGTCAAATGTTTGCATAAACGTCACTTTCTTTGTGTCTCTTCTTGTGTGCAAGTCTTTTCTGTGAAGGGCTAAAAAGAAAAAAGAGTCATGTGTCTTTTACCTGGCTACGTCTCCTCTGTACAGAGACTTGTAAGTCCAGTTGGCAGGGTCTGCTTTTCGGTCCACACAAAACAGCTGCTCTGTGGGCAACTGGAGGTCATCCAACCAAGAGAAATGGCTCGCTAACTGAGGAGCCTCCTGCCTGTTTCCCACAAACATAATTACAGAACAGAAGCGAGGTTATACTCAGTGTATAAAATTACAAGTGTATGCCTCAGTGATGTTAAAGATGTTTGTGTACCTTTTGGCTTCTTGCTCCTTTTTGAGATCACTCGGGTAGATGGTTTCAGAGTCAGATGCGCTGCTGTGCGAATACCTCCCACTCTTTTTTTTGTGCTTTTTCTTCTGTTTCTTCTTCCTTTTCTTCTTTCTGGGTGCCACACCATCCTCTCTGTCCTCTTCAGAGCTGACATCTCTGCTGACACTGGGAGTCAATGAGGAAGAGAGGAAGAGTTTGATTTGGCAGATTTTTAGAGCTGGATGCTCTTCCTGACATAACCCAAAGGAGGTTTGTGTCTCCTTCTGCGACTGAACTGGGCAGCGATGAATTTCTAAGGAAGAACCAACACATTTCACAGTTCAGTGATCAGAGTTGTGATTCTTTTACCTTGGTTCCTTCTTGTTTTGCTCCTCGCTGGTCTTCTCTAGAAATCGACCGTGAAGAGAGAGCGCATCTCCTGTCTGAAAACTCTTATTCTTCAGCCAATCAAACTCTGAAAATGAGAGCAGACAAGACATAATTACAAGATAATCAGGAGGACTTAGAAATCATGAACAATGCAATCTGTCTATCCCAAGTAGTGATACTGCACTGTGCGAAGGTTTTGGACCACAACACGTCTAACAGACATAACATGGCATTTTTGCGCCAACAACACGATTCTTCCCTAAGGGGCATTAGCTGAAAATATGGCATATCTCTGGATGTTGTGCAGGGAAAACTGAGGGCAAAACTGAGGAAACTGGACGAATGGAGAACAAAAGTAACAGGCCTAAAAAAAACTATCTGCAGATGAACTGCATTTTGCCCAGCAGTATTGAAGATCTTGTCAAAGCTGATGAAATTATGAACACAGATGTACCATCAGATTCTCACCCACCATGTAATACAATCTGAAAAATGTATGACTGGCAACAGCTTTCTTTTTAAGCACGACAATCATCCCAAACTTACTGTGAATGCAGTTAAACTACAACTGGGTAGAAAAACACACAATGAAACACTATGAGTCATGGATTGGCTGCCCCAGAGCCAAGACCTCAATTATTGAAACAGTGTGGGGTCATCTAAACGTGGCCAACATTAAAAGAAGAGCTTTGAATGTCCTTCAAGAGGCCTGTAAAACTACTCCTAAAGGGTACTTAAAGAAATTACAAGAAAGCTACCTCAGAGACATGTTTTCTAAATGTGAACAAACTGAGTTTTTACCATATATACTGTACCTCCATGTATTTTCCCACATATTTCAAGAAATCACTCAGTCTATTTTCCATTTTTAAAGGAGAGAAATATCAAAAACCAAGGGTGGCTCAAGACTTTTATACAGTATTATAATTTTTTTTGAAATACCAACTCTGAAAATATTCATAGTAGTAAGTCAAAATTTCGTCCTCATTCATTTTTTATTCATTAAATAAAAAAAGTGAAATGAGACAAAAAAAAAATCCTCTAGAGAGGGGAGGGAGGGAGGCACTAAATGATTATTCATTAAATGAACCCCGAAGCTTCAATACGTCAATAAAACGTTAGTGTAATGACACGAGCAGGATGGGTAAAGAGTATCTAAAGATACTGACAAGTCGTTTAGATTATAAAGACGTAAAATCGTCGCTGTTTTAGCTAAAAGATAGCGAGTTTCTTGGACTTCCAAGAGGAACACGTATCGTGAAATGAGAGATAAAGCTAAAAGAGGTTAAGATGTTTTGTGTCATTCAGTTCCAGCGACGAGCGGCTGATCTGACATTGAATATCAGGTCGTTGTTTCGGTCAGATTTTAGTTTTCGGCAGACTGTCAGTCTAACAGAGCGTCCAGGTGACTGCTAACTGACATTAAAAACCGTGTATTACAGGAAGCCGGGATCACCTGTGGAAGAATCTCTAACTTTGTTGCTCGCCTCTTCTGCAAACGCTGGAAACAGCGCCATGATGCTGCGTCACTTAGAAACAGGGCGCAGGGATATGACGTCACAACGGCGTTTGGGCTCGCCAAAGTAAAACATAATGCTGTTTGGGGATTTTTCAAACGTTAAAAAATTAAAATCCCATTTCTGTTGAAGCGTATTATACTCACTTAATTTTTTTTGTCTTGTGTAAACATATAATACATTTGGAAATAAGAAGGAAAAACTTCGGATTTTATTTTAATGTATTATTTTCTCATTTAAAACGTTAAAAGAGCCCCTGTTGGCCTGAAAGCTCGAATTCATGACTGCGTTGGCAGCTTTGGCTATTAGTTCACAAATATAATCTCTCCTGCCCACGTGTACTTAATATAAAATAATCCAGTGGAAAATAATACTATTCAAACTGTACAGCACTGGCACAGATGGTTGGCAAGGGAGAGTTGATTTTTTCACTTCCTGTTACTAAATAATGTGGTAAATTATGGCTTTTCTGGCACTTCACTGAAATTGTTGCAAAGCTATTTGACAAATCATAGGCAGACTATCAATGATAAGGCATTTAACATGTGGAGTACCTAGCTGTTTGGGGAAATTATTATTTTCAGGTCGTTTTTATGAGCTTTCATTTGTTTTAAAAATTGGCTCAGATTCTTTTGTATACTGATGACTCACCAGTATATGGATCTGAAACCTCAACTGATCAATTAAGCTTATTAATGCTTAATGAGTGACTGAACGCTGTAAAAGATGCGTTTATAATATTCCTACTAAAAAAAGAGGAGGCAAAACTGTTATTATTATTAGTGTATTCGTTGCTTTTAAAATAAAATACGTATATTGATAATACTGTAAGTAAAATAGGTAAAGGTCTGTCAGTGATTAGAAGAAGTGCACAATTAATGACACCAGAGTTTATAAAGGAGGTTCTAAATGCATTAGTGTGATTATTGCTATGTAATCCGTTCCAGTGCTTCAGCAAAAGAAATTTTAAAAAATGAAATAGGTTGGCACTTTTTACAGTTTATATTGCACATCCGATAACTAAAGAAACATATTTGTTAAAATCGTATTAGCAAAATCAGTATGAACTTGGCTAAAAATTGTTTGGATAGTGAAGACAGCTGACAGGCAGTCTGTAAAAAAAATTATTTGCCCCTTTCCAGATTTTTAAGTTACCAGTTTTTTTTCTTTTATTTTTTGCATATTTGTCACATTTAAATGTTTCAAATGCTTATCCTATTTTTAATATTAGAAAAAGCTAAAACTCAGTAAATACAAAATGCAGTTTTTAAATGATCAGTTTCACTGACTCGTCTGAAACTGAGTGAAAAAAGAGCCAATGTCCAAATAAAATTTCCTCCAGAAAGCCTGGAAATGTAATGCTCAAGATGACTTTTAGAAACACACAAATGCCTGGCTCCTTGGAAGCAAAGTATAAAAAAATGAGGGATGACTCAACACCTTTCCACAGTACTGTCAAAAATAAAATTAGAAATGCTCCCACATCGTCATAAAACCTGGTATTTAAATTTGAATTACTTCCGATTGAATGACTGAATGCACATCGCACTGTAATTTTATATGTAAGCCAGAAGTTAGAAAGTGCTCTCGCTGACTCTAAAATATAACGACTATGTCACATGGTAACTACAAACGATCGCCTCGTTTGGCGTTAAGATTCAGTCTCCATATTAGGTTTCATGTCGTGAGCTCGTGTATTGGGTAGAAAATGATGATTGATTGATTCTGAAAAGTCTTTCCTGGGTTTGTTATTCAAACCTGAGTGACGCGCACGCAGAGCTTTTGCGCGTCTCCAAGAGACGCGTTGTGTGCTGAATGTGTGCGCCGTTCTCTCCGTGTTACCGAGGTAACGGACCTCCTGGGATCGCTATCCAATCAAAACCCGAAAGCAAGGTGTTTGGGCCAATCCGATTCCCAGTCTGTTTTGTTTGACACTTAGTTCCTCCAATTGCCTTCTCGGTGTCTCTATAGCTGGCAACGCTCCTACCTTCTCAGGTTAGTCCGTTGTTGGTTGAACGCTGGATCAGTGTCTACGCTTGGCTGTTCCGAAGTTTTTCATTTCGACCAAAAAAATGAGGGAAATAGTTCATCTGCAGGCCGGCCAGTGCGGCAACCAGATCGGCGCGAAGGTGAGAGTGATAGTGGTTTTAAAGTTGAGTTTGAGTGTTTGAAGTTCGAGTACGCGGGCCACTAAATTAAATTAGCGCCAGAGCTAATCATAGCGCTGCTGAGTTTGACTGAGCCGACTGATTTAATCGTTTTATTCCGTCCCTGTGTGTGTGTTCTAGTTCTGGGAGGTTATAAGTGACGAACATGGCATCGATCCCACCGGGACTTACCACGGAGACAGCGACCTACAGCTGGAGCGAATCAACGTGTACTACAACGAGGCTACAGGTTAACTTCACACTGCACAGTCTGATCTAATTTCTGGGTGAGCTGAGGTAATTCAATAGCCAGCAGAAACCTGGTTAATACAGCCACCGTCCAGTAGGGGGGGCATTAATCAACCCCCCTTTCAGAGTCAGGGGGCTTTTTCTTGGCTCTCCTTCCTGGTTACCGTCACTCAGTTTCCAAGACAAAACAACAAAAACAAACCCTTGCCTAGCAATGGTGCCCACAAATTAGACTGTTCCCGCTTTAAGTCACACTTCGGACTGGGATAATATTATCACTAAGTTAAAGAGGCAAAGCATTGAGTATGTTCATGCAGTTTATGACAAAGTAAAGTTTTTATAGTTAAGTACAGTAAGTATGTGTATACTAGTTTCTGCAGTGGGTTTGCTCATGTCATAGTCTGGGTCATTCTACGGTGACGTCTGTCTCTGCCCCACCCCCGGCCTTTGCAGAAACATTTTAGGGTTACAGTTTGTTTCTGTGTTTAAAATAAACATGTTATTTAAACAGTTCCTGAGCTATCAGTTTGGCAGTGTTCGTTTTTAATCTGTCATAGAGTGGCCCAAGCACCACAGTCAGCTATAGCGGCTAAGCGCTGTGATTTCACATAGTTCAGAAGTGAATGAATGAATGAATAAATAAATAAGTTATACAATAGACACAATACACACATAGAAATGTAAGATATGTAGAACAAATATAAAATGTATAAAGAAAGTAATGATCCTATGAAGTTGCCTCACCGGTGTTACTGTGGAAAAACGGCCTATTATGAGTTCACTTCCTATTACTAATTTCCTTAAGCTCTGTAAAGAATTCATCATACCACCTCCCAATTTTGTGAGCACAATATGACAACGTGGATTTTATGAAAGGGACTATTAAAAACAGCCATTACTTACTCAGTAACACCAGTGGCTCCTATGTTCAGAGGAACTTTTTGCATAAACTATTTGTATTTTATGCAAATGCTACGTTTTTTTTATCATAATGAATCCTCTTTTTGTCTGGTATGGCTTAACTGAGTAGCATGATGATTAATACGTCACTGGTGTTACCGTATGGGGTTTATTATTTCTGTCACATCAAACTGATATGATAATAATTTCACATCAATTGAATTTTGTTACAAGTAAGAGTTAAGATATAAAGGATTACATCACTTCTCATTTTTAATTGTTCTTCAAATTATTTTTATTGTTATAGCAAATAAACAATTCCACGAATGGACAAATATTGGGTCACATTTTAACAAACAAAACTGATAATAATAATAATAATGACAATACTAAGAGATAATCCCCAGATCCATTATTATTGACATTCTTCTGTCTGAAGAGAATTGGGACCAAGTATTTAATTAAAGCGTTTTAAAGCAGTCCAAAGAAATGTTCACATACCTTCAGAAATCCTGGAAAATTGAAACCGCTTTTACCAAAGTTGCTCCTTTGGCAAACACCACTTACAAAAGAATTCAAGTAGATGTAGATAAAATATATATTTTTTAAATCAACAAACTGTCTTTTGATTTTTTTTTAAATTCATAAATGAGCAAGTTCTATAATGTGGTTTAGGGTTAAATATTTTAAAATAAATCAATTTTAAGATCTTGCGCTATCTCAACATCAGACATTTCTGTAGAAGGACCCCTCTGTTTCTTTTTACTTTTTTCTTTTTTTATAAAGATTACACCAAAAGAAGCGTTTTCTGGGTTGAAGATTTGAGAAATTTAGATGGTTACTGGTAATTAAACATATCTGTCTTGATTTGAAAAAACAAATTAACAAATTGAAACTGAACATGTTTTGGTTTTTGTTAGTTTTTCTAAATCATAATATCTTCTGGTTGTTTTTGGTGTGATTTTCACCTCTTGTTAAAGTTTTTTTTCCTCTGTAGTTACCTGTGATAATTTGGGCTTTTTTAGTTTTTGTATTTATTTGCACTTCGCGTAGTTTGCTGATAGAGCTCGGAGGATTATTAAGGATTTATAACTGATATTAAACAGGTGCCCTATCCCTAAACTAATTATATAATCTTGAAGTTAAAAGTGTGGCTTTTTTTGGTCATCTGTCTTCACCAGGTGGGAAGTATGTCCCTCGTGCGGTCCTGGTGGACTTGGAGCCGGGCACAATGGACTCTGTGAGGTCCGGCCCCTTCGGTCAGGTGTTCAGACCTGACAACTTTGTCTTTGGTGAGCCTTTGAAAGCTGAACATTCATTCATTCATCATCCTGGCTTTAGAAAAGTAAAATGGAAAGTATTTTGACCAAAGGAAAAAAAAAAATCTGTGTTTGTTTGTTTTAATTTGTCTGTATGTACTTATTTGTTTGTTCAAAAAAAACAGTGGAATAGTACGTTTTCAAGTGATGTTTCATGTTTGGCTGCTCACTGTAAGTAAATTGTGTTTTAAATATGGAAATGGAGTCAGTGGTGTCAGATGCCTATATTTGCTTGTGACACACAGGTCAGAGCGGGGCAGGGAACAACTGGGCTAAAGGCCACTACACTGAGGGGGCGGAGCTGGTGGACTCAGTCCTGGATGTGGTGAGGAAGGAGGCAGAGAGCTGCGACTGCCTCCAGGGCTTCCAACTCACGCACTCCCTGGGCGGAGGTACGGGCTCCGGCATGGGCACGCTGCTCATCAGCAAGATCCGCGAGGAATACCCGGATCGCATCATGAACACTTTCAGCGTGGTTCCCTCCCCCAAGGTCCGTATTCGACATCCACATCATTCCAGATTAACTGTGTGGGGCCCTGCCCGCCCTTAATGGCGCCTTCTCCTTCTTCAGGTGTCCGACACGGTGGTGGAACCATACAACGCCACCCTCTCCGTCCACCAGCTGGTGGAGAACACGGACGAGACTTACTGCATCGATAACGAGGCCCTGTACGACATCTGCTTCCGCACGCTGAAGCTCACAACGCCCACCTACGGCGACCTTAACCATCTCGTCTCGGCCACGATGAGCGGCGTTACCACCTGCCTCCGCTTTCCAGGCCAGCTCAACGCAGACCTGAGAAAACTGGCCGTGAACATGGTGCCGTTTCCCAGGCTGCACTTCTTCATGCCGGGCTTCGCACCCCTGACCAGCCGTGGCAGCCAGCAGTACAGGTTAGAGCAGCCGGATGCTGTTAGCAATGCCTATTTCGAGTTTGAATTATATCTCAACTAAAATATCTGTTCATTTTCCTAGGGCGTTGACCGTTCCCGAGCTAACCCAGCAGATGTTCGACGCCAAGAACATGATGGCAGCATGCGACCCACGCCACGGGCGCTATCTCACAGTTGCTGCCATCTTCCGAGGCCGCATGTCCATGAAGGAGGTGGACGAGCAGATGCTGAACGTGCAGAACAAGAACAGCAGCTACTTCGTGGAGTGGATCCCCAACAACGTCAAGACGGCCGTCTGCGACATCCCGCCGCGCGGCCTCAAGATGGCTGCCACATTCATTGGCAACAGCACGGCCATCCAGGAGCTGTTCAAGCGCATCTCTGAGCAGTTCACCGCCATGTTCCGCCGCAAGGCCTTCCTTCACTGGTGAGAGACACCCCGGTCCGTTTGTAGCCTGAGTTCATGCCCTCATGCGACGTGTTAATCACCTCACCGCTTCTGTTTCAGGTACACGGGCGAGGGCATGGACGAGATGGAGTTCACGGAGGCCGAGAGCAACATGAACGACCTGGTGTCCGAGTACCAGCAGTACCAGGAGGCCACGGCCGAGGAGGAGGGAGAGTTCGAGGAGGAGGGTGAAGAGGACATGGCCTAAAAATCAGCACGGCTCTTCTTTTTCTCCCTTTTCTTCTTTCTATGCAACAGTTTCAGGTCAATGCGGTTCAGACGTCAAGAAGTTAAACAACTTTTTTCTTTTCTTTTCTTTTTTTTAAGAACAAAAGTTGTTATATATCACCAAGTTATTTAGAGCGTACAGGTGGTCTCCATGCTTTTATGTGTTACATGTTTGCTTTTGTTCCCCATCTTTAAATGTGAATGTTTTCAGCCTGTTCTTTCTTTTCTGGTTAGTATCACCTCATCATTGCGCTGTTTCTAAATGGATGGTGTTATTAAAGGGAGCCTGACGCTTATTACAGGAGGTGTGATCAAAAAAACTCCATTTAAAAAAAGATGTAGCAGTAAATAGAACATTAAATGTCCTGTTTGTGTAGATCACTTGCCCTTTGCACTGTTTGATATCACCACAGATTTTGAACATGACCCAGCTCCAGCTTTAACATGTACTAATGAGAGAATGTAACACTGACTAATTCATGGCACTTTCTTGCGATTTTTAACACTTAACGTTTAATGTAGAATATAATTATTTTATTTTATTTTTAAGTGAAATTAAATATTTAAGATTTATTCTAAATGAAAGAAAACACTGAGAGCGTCAGGAACTCATCACTCCCACCTAACTTTGTGTGCTTGTTCTGATTTTGTAGAAGAATTTAAATAAAGTTTGTCTTTTTTTTTTTTTTTTTGTAGAGGGGTTCAGTACAGCCATGATATTTTTACATTATCATGAGCCATCTTTCTGCTCATATCCCTTCTATCCTAGCGTGTGACATCCAAAACTTCCTCAATCTGAAATTGCGAATTCCCTTTTGGGGTTAATAAAGTTTGGTGCTACATATGGTGGATTACTTCTACTTTTGTCTTTTTGTCTACTTAAAAACAAATGAGTCAGACGTGCTCTTGGCATGATCAGTGCAGGTGTTTGTGCAGTAGTACAGTGGGGGTAAAGATGAGCCATATTTGAGTTCACTTTTAGCAAAGAAAACATTTAATATTCCGATTTTTTTATACACACATGGGTGCTGACTAAATTCCCCTTTTTTAAAAGGAAAAAGCTAAGTTAAATTTAAGGTCCAATGTGAAATATGTATTTGATTCTGACCTCTCTAATTACTGGTGGCTCATTTTAAATCATAGAACTAAAAACAATGGATATATTTTACAGATAGATATATTTATGATTTAGCATTACCTTTCCCTAATTTTTAACAAATTTCATCATTTTCACAGAATGCTGGATAATTGTAGTTAAATGTTTATATCTGAATCACTGGTTAGCCTGATGTGGCCAAGTCTGCTCATCTCCTGCTGTCAAACTTAAGGGGTGGAGTGAGGAACAAAATGCAGACGGGGGAACAAAGTGGATGTAATTAAGAGGAGATGATAGCAGCAGTGAATGAGGAAAGAAGCAGAGAGCTTGAACATAACCAGAGAATGCAATGAGTTGAAAGCTCTCTATGTAACATCTTACTTAGCCTTTCCAAGGCAGAAACACCTTCCCGTCTGCTGTGCTCTGGGAGTTGGACACTCACACACATCCTGAGCTGCTATGTCAAGGCCCTTGGGGACGGTTGCTATGGGTCGCTCCCCAGCTGTGACAATAAACAGGCTCTGCTGTCCCCTTAGGAAACACGTAACATTTGTCAAAGTGGAAGAGCAACTGAAACTGCTGCAGGTCTACTTTCCATCATGAACACTGGCAGGTAATGGTAGACTTGAGCCAGGGACTTCAAAACAGATTTCTTTTGAAGCATTTCTGTCAGCAATCTGGGAAGATTGTACCGAGCAGGCGTTTCAAGAGGAAGCTGGCCAAGTACCAGGGGCTTCTGGAAGATCGCAGGAGACAGAACAACTAGAAAACCCACAGATCAAAACACCTGGTGCAGCAGGTGTAACTTAAATGAGACATTTCATCCTGTCTGTGTAAATGTGGTCAGAAGTTTATATCATGGGTGTTGAACAACTGCAGATTTTTGCATCATCAGTTCAACCAACTGTACATAATTTGATGTTATCCCTGCCATGAACTGGAAACTGCTGGAACTCCTGCATCTCTGTCCACAGAGAAGCGAGTTTAAAATCTCCATTGACGGAGAGGATGCTGGAGAAAGGTTTTATGATCAGGCGAGACAAACAGAGAGCTTTTTGGCCACTGTGCCAAGTGATATCTTTGGAGGCGTAAGTGAGGCTTTCAAATCTAAGAACACTGTGAACTGTCAGGCATGGTGGTGGTAGCATCATGCCAGTGGTACTGGTACATTACACAATAGGTATGGAATAATGAAGGAGGATTACCTTGTAATTCTTCTGTTTCACTTTAAATCAACAGCTAGAAATAAAATCTTGTTTTACATCATGTATGTTTTATAACATGTATGCTGCACAATCGTTACAGAAATCTATAAAATCCCCAAAATAACACGACATTCACGCTCATGACAAGTGGATGTAAACTTCAGACCACAGCTTTATATATGTCAGTCAGTTTTGGTGCAAAAGATTTCCCTGCAACATTCAGAGGTCTTTTTTTGTTCTAAACTACGGCTTGACCCATGTTTTTAGGTGCATACTCAGATATTTTACATCAGGGGGAATTTTGCATTTGGCGATAACCTCTGGTTCAGATCTGTTCATGCAAAATAAAAGCTGCTTATGTGAAATTTGTTTCCTCGTCCTGTCCGGACATGCCACAGATTTGATCTTTATCCACCTTCATCAGTATAATGGCTACTTTCCTTTAACCTTTGTCCAGCTGCACAGCCACACAGCTAACAATAGCATGTTTTTGTGCGTGTTTGAATAAAGCTCAGTGCAAACACTCATCCATGTCGGTATTTGACTTCATCTCTCAGTCTGCTTAACCTGCTATAATTATTATGGCCAGAATAATGCACCATTGTGAAAAGTTTACAGGAAATTTTGCAGTGTGTCGGGTAAATTAGAGTAAATATAATGAAAGACTGAAGAGAACAAGACAAAATTCAGATTTGCAAACTGTTTCTTTTGAAAACTGGGGAAATCTAACTGCATTTGATCATGAGAAGATTTTACATCTAACTAATTCAAAGGGATTTATCAGAAGCCATCGGAGAGAACAAGAACCTGCCGATTGCAGATGAAGGGAAATAATCCTGAATATTTAAATGACAGATAACAAACAAATGTCATTATGATTGGACACTTCCTGGTTCCGTTTCTTTCCTTTACATGGAACTAAAAAAAAGAAAATCAGCAGCATGCACATCATTTACAAAGTTCTCAGCTCTCAGTCCACAAACTGCTCCCCTTTTTTCCTCTGGTGTGCCTGTAGTTTCTGCTTTTTATTCATATATACACAGGAATGATCATGAATGCTTTCAAACCTATATAAGATGATATAAAGATAAGTTAGAGCATTGTTTTTGAAGTCAAAGTAAAGCTGACTGTTTGTTATCTAATGCACTGAGTTTATTTGATCTTTTTTCCTCTCGTCTGTTTTTTTTAAATCCAGTTTTGGGATTTATCAGCCGTTAAGGTGTCTGCCTCCTCTTGAATAACAGGAATGCCTGTTTTCCAGAAGTCATGAAACCGCGACTCCATTATGCAGCTGACCCATGACACAAGGATTTAGTAAACATTAATCGACCTTCTGTGCCTTACCTTATTTCCTGCCGTGTGTATACCAAACAAACAGCAGTTTCACATACAGACACTACTAGTCGTGCCTGTTTTGTTTTTCCATATAAACCACACTGATAAGCCACATATGTACGCTCACCACTCACTTTCTAGTACTTGCTTGGACACCGTTTTGCCAGGGCCACCTTAATTATTCGTGGCATAGATTCAACAACGTGCTTTTTGGTCCATGTTGGCACAACAGTGTCACACAGTTGCTGCAGACTTGTCAGCTGCTCGTCCATGATGGGAATCTCCTGTTCCACCACATTCCAAAGTTTCTCTATTAGATTGAGATCTGGTGACTGCGGATGAAATTTGAGTACAGTGAACTCATTGTCATGTTGAATGAACCAGTTTGAGAGGAGTTGAGCTTGAGTTTTCCCACCGGGTGCAGCCATCAGAAGATGTGTACACTGTGGTCATAAAGGGACGGTCATGTTCAGCAGCAATACTCGGGTAGGGTGTGGCGTTTGAATGATGCTCAGCTGATACACAGCGTGCCAAGAAAATAGCATTACACCAGGCAGGATAGATCCATGCTTTCATGTTGTTCACATCAAACTCTGACCCTACTGTCTGAATCCGTCCATCCATCCATCCAGCAGAAATCAAGACCCATCAGCTCCAGTAACATTTTTCTAATTTCCTAGAGTCCAATTTTGGTGAGGCCATGTGAAGTCTCACCTCAGCTTATATTTCTTAGCTGACAAGAGCACTGTAGCGTGGTCTTCTGCTGCTGTAGCTCATCTGCTTCAAGGTTGACGTGTTTTGTGCATCAGAGATTCTTCTGCATACTTAAGTTGAGTCGAGTTACTCCTCTGACCTCTGGCATCAACAAGAGATTTTCACCCAGAGAACCGCCTCTCACTGGGTATTTTCTCTTATACAGACCATAAAACCATGGAGACTGTAGAGCCAACACGTCCCAGCAGATCAGCTGTTTCTAAAATACTTAAATAAAAATAAAAATACTTGCATCCACCTGGGACCAACACCCAAGTCACATGTCCAAAGTCACTTAAAGAAATAAGAATAAGAAAGAAATGTGATGAAATATGATGGATTTTGTTTTATTTGTTGTCATTTTTTTTAAATACTTAATGGCAGTTCAGCATTTTGTGCATGACATAAAACATCACACCATCTTTGGGCCTCTTCTCACTGAAAAATCATGAAGAAATAAAAAGAAATAAAAAAGGAGGTTTCAGACAGCAGCTGTAATATTGAGACAGTAATATTTCATTTACACCAGCAATGGTGACAGTTATGCTCTGTGTGTGTTAATTCACCATCAGTAAACACTGTAAGTGCTGGAAAATGTCAGCGAGTGGCTAGTTTACACCGCAACATCCATCCATCCATTAACAAAAACAATATGAGTAACAACGAAGGCTGTACGAACGCAACTGCTCCCCGACGTCCACAACGAGAACGAACAAATTCATATTTTCATTAGGTCAACAGAGCAACACACCCCAGTTTATCCCAGAGGTTTTCCCTAAGTTCCTGCTCAAACAGCAGAACTGTGAACTGCTCATGAAAGGAAGAAGCAAAATACAATCAAAACAATTGGGTTTAGGCCTAATAACGTCCAGCATGTGGGGACACGCCTGGGTGTGGCAACAAAGATAAAACAACCACAGAGTTCATTCCTCATCAAAAGTCTCTCACAGAAAACCGGAATGACTCCAAACAAAGAAAAGCACACATAGAGTTTAAAATACAGAAAACCTCTGGTTTAGGAGTTAGTAAGAGTATTGTTTTTATACTTTTGATTTGTCTGCTGCTCTTCTAAAATCTGCCAACTCCTTAAGTTGGGAACCAGCTGGTGGGAGTGAAAAACAAGAAGGACAGAGGGGATAAAGTGGAGAGGAAAGAAAGGAGACAAGGGAAAGTCAGCCTCGGGGTTTGAGAATTTAGCCGATTGTATACTCGTAGTGAGCCGTTCACTACAAGAAGGAGACAGAAAATATCAACGGATTCTCCTACAGCACGGAAAATGGAAAGTTCATAGCAGTGAAATAAGGCCACATGGGACATATATATGAATAAATAAAGAAATGGGGGAACTATATCATATCTGATAATTCATTAAAAAAAGAAGAAAAGATGAGAGGCACTGTGCACTTTTTGCTGTTAACAGAAGGATTACACTGATCAATATTAAAGGGGACCTATTGTGC